GGAATACGAATCTGTCAGCCGGTAGATGGATCGTCCAGCGCGCGACGATCTCCAAAGACCAGAACCCTTTCGCAGGTTCGCGTCATAGGCACGCTAATCCCTGCCGCGTGCCCAGAAATTCCTCCACAAGTCTAAGTCCACCACGGACCTCAGATATACGTACTACGCCTACCGCTCTTTCGCTCCTTGTAGTTTCCATGATTGCTGTCCTCCTCCGCCTCTACACACATCTCTAATCCTGTGCTCTCGTCGCTCGTTCCCGAAGAAGCTCTAGTCGCTGCGCCGTAACATTCCGCGAGCCGGTGTACCCGTGGCTTGCACGCCTGGTTCCGTACCGACAACGCGCCCGTAGAGCACCTGCATTGTGCACCGCATAGAGGAGAGACCTTCCACTTGTACTAATACCGCCACTCGTTGCTGCCATGGGTCGTCCAAAGAGAGGTAAATAATGCGCCGGCTACAAAACCGCGTCCCTCGCTCCCCTGCCGGCAGTGCCCGTCGTTGGAAGAACATTCACTAATGTTGCGCCCGGTTCGCCCCTTCACAGTTCTGTCGTTTATGTCACAATGGGGTGGTTCCAACCAGAATACCTTGCAAAAGAACCCTCCGTCCGCCGGACCGTCTCCGGGCCCCGCGTCCCCCGCTCCGCCTTCACCCTCGACGAAGCAACCCGTCAGCTCAGCCAACTTTGCACAGTCGGCCACCGCTCTCGACTCGTATAACAGCGAGCGCCCTCCCTCCCGCGCGACCCAACGCGAGCGCAGCGACTCGCGAGCCTCGGTCCGTCCCATGTCCATGATCCAGACATACCAGCCGCCCGTCATGGAAGTAAGCCAGGACACGCTGCCCGAGCTGCAGCGCATCTTCACCTTCCTGAACAGCCACTCGAACAAGCTGTACCAGGAGGGCTACTTCCTCAAGTTCCACGACACCGACACCCGTACGTCAGCCCTGTAGGCCATGCCTGTCTGTGATACTAACGGCAATGCAGGTGGCCGTCCCGCGCCAGATCGGAGATGGCAGGAGTACTTCGTCCAGCTCGTGGGCACCATCCTCTCCCTCTGGGATGCGAGCGCGTTAGACCAGGCTGGGGGTGACGCCGAGGTGTTGCCCACGTTCATCAACCTGACGGACGCTGCGATCCACATGGTATGTCCGCTCACGCCCTCACTATGACCTCACTGACCCCGCAGATCCCCTCCATGACCCTCAAAGACGGAAAGAAGCTCGACAACATCCTCAGCGTGTCCACGGCCGCGAGCAACAAATACCTCTTCCACTTCGATTCCTACCACGCGCTTACGCAATGGACCGCCGGCATCCGCCTCGCCATGTTCGAACACACCACTCTGTCGGAAGCGTACACGGGTGCGCTGATCGCTGGCAAGGGCAAGACGCTGAACAACATCCGCATGATACTGGACCGCCAGTGCGCAAAGTACGAGGACTGGGTGCGCGTTCGGTTTGGCGCGGGCACTCCGTGGCGCCGCTGCTGGTGTGTCGTCTCTCCGCCAGATGAGAAGGAATACCTCAAGATGCAGAAACTGCAGAAGAAAGGCAACGCTTACGAGCGGCCGCCGATACTCAAAGGCGACATCAAGTTCTACGATACCAAGAAGGTCACCAAGAAAACCAAGGCCATCGCCACGGTCAAGGACGCATACTCATGCTACGCCATCTACCCGCAGTCGAAGCCGCTCATCGACCAGTCTACATTGGTGAAGATCGAGGGCAAGATCACCATACACTCTACGCCAGAGAGTACAACAGAAGGATTCGTCTTTGTCATGCCGGAGTCGCGTCCCGCTATTTCAGGATTTGAGATTATGCTCCAGTACCTTTTCCCCGTGTTCGATACATTCTCACTATACGGACGCCCAAAGAAGTTGATTGCAGACGTTCTAGACACCCGCGGTTTGATGTTCGCTATGCCCTCCGACAGGCGCTACGGATACTTGGAGATGTGGGACGTGGTGGGCTTGATCAACACCGAGGGCAGCGACAAGTGGTCAGAGCGCCACTGGAGGAAGCAATTGAAGGACCTCACATCCACAAGAATGGTGACTGCGAACCAAGACGCAGAATCCATCTACAGTCGCGCCAGCCGCAGGAACACCGTCAGCCGGGCAGGCTTCACGCCTCGTAACCTGCGATTTGAAGACCAAGGCTCCATTCGTTCCAGCCCGTCCACACGCGCGTCATCTCCTACACGCAAGTTCCCAGACTTTGAAGTGCAAGCGCCGCGTCGCGTCGGAACAGCTCCCGCAGCAAACCCATTCGGTACCCCACGCCATCAGCGATCTGTGTCAGAGCAAGTCAACGGACGCAACGAGAACAATCCATCTAGATTCACGCGAGAGGAGACGCCATACGAAGACGAGCGACCGCCGACGCCTCCCCAGCATCGTATACTCAACGGTTCGTCGAACGGGGCGGTCCAGCCTTATGATTCGTCTGCGTCAGATTACGACGAGAGCCCCATCAAGGAGCCACAGAACCTTCCACCGCCGCCTGCAGATCTGTCTGCTCCACCGCAAGGTTATGTCGACCTTCCTCCGACCCAGGAGCACGCTGCCAATCAAAAGCCACCTATTCGTCCCAATATGCCCATGGCTAAGCCAAACCCTGCAGTCGACTCTGCCACGCTTCAGCAAATGGCTGACGCTTCACATGGATCCTTCCCAGGGGGCGTAGCTGCCGCTGGCGCAGTCGGGGCTTGGAGAAACCAGGACACCATACAGAGCAGACGCAGTGGTGACTACAACGCGTACGGTGATCAGGGGCAATCGATGTATCTTGGTGTCAACTCAAGGCCGCCTCCAACGAACCAAAACTCTGGGAACCGCCTGTCTACCATTCCCGCATCACCATACGTCGAGCATTCCGAGTTCGTCGACTCTCCCACCGGCTACCAGCCGACAGCTCCATCGGTCCCAGAACATAGTGAGTTGCCGCCACAGCCCCCCAGTCACGAGCTCCCTTATCGTCCGCACCCCGAAAGCGGCGGCATACCCCGTAAACCAGTACCAGGTCGGTCTCCCCTAGCCTCGCAAGAGGATGACACCCTTTCGACCAGTAGCTCAAGACTCGACAGTTTACGAGAGGACGTAATCGACCCTGAAGCTCTCGACGCTTTCAACATCACACAGCCCACTCTGAATCGTCAGCCAAGCGGATCAAGTAGTTTCTACGACGATGATGCCATATCGACTTCCACGCCAGACTATGCCAGCATCGCTGAAGAGGAACCTGCGCCTCCTCCACGAAGATTGCCTGAACGACGCACCGATCGACCAAGAAGCGGTGTTCTGACCATGATTGGAGATCCAAACGTAAAGCTTCCCTCAGATGAAGATCCACATGGCTACAAGTCTGTTCTGGACCCAGCACAGGCGCCTGCGGCTGTTCCCAGTATTGACTTTGGCCCGACGTACGCGCTGGACTTTGACGGCAAGCGTCCGGGCACCAGTGGAACCATGACACAGATGCTGCACGATAATAGCGCCTCGCGGTCCAAGGAGAATCTTGCGACTACCCCGAATGAACAGCACCGACTGTCTTATATCTCCGGTGCAGGGTCACCTAACCAACCCATGCATGCGCGTAGTGGTTCGAACTCTCCGCAGATCTTGGATTCACGACAAGTCGCATGGCAGCCGGCTGCAGCCTCACCACAGCAGCCGGACAAGACAAGGCTGGATCCTGAAGACTGGGTGATGCATCGTGCGGCGCATCAGCAGCAGCCTATAATGTATGGACATGGCAGGAGCAAGTCGCACACCCCACCTCCTTTCGGTCGCACGCATTCTGGAGATTGGACTCGTACGCACTCTGGAGATTGGAGTCATATTCAGCGGTCGCCTCAGGGTTCTCCAGGTCCTGCCCGTCCACCCAGCCGCCCTTTAAGCCGCGGTGCTGAGACACTGCTTAATCAACAACCTACTACTTTGTCTGCTCGCGAGCAGGAACAGGTGGCTCGCATGACAAACACTCCTCTTCTGGACCTTTCGCAGAACACCAAGAAAGTGCAAAAGGAGCCTCCGACAGGTCTTACAGGTTATATCGATTATCGCGAGAAGGAGAAGGCGGCTCACAAGGCCAATCGCCAGAGCTTCACACCGACTATGCAAGCTGAGATCGACCGACGCACCTTGCAGACCCAACAGCGCCAAATGATGGAGGTCCAGCAACGCCAGCAGATGATGATGCAACAGCAGATGCAGCAACAATATGCAATGGCTCAGAGCAACTATGCGCCGAGCATGATGGGTACTCCTAGTGTTATGGGTATGGGCACGCCAACCGGCATGGGTGCTCCGAGTGTAATGGGCGCGCCAAGCATGATGGGCACTCCTAGTGTTATGGGCATGCCTACCGGGCCTGGTACACCGTCAGGCATCGTCGGAATGGCGTACTCCACACCGAGCCAAATGCACCCCATGTATCAGCAACAGCAGCAACAGTACTTCCCGCAACAGGCGCCAACCCCACAGATGAACGTCCCTGGAGGTTGGGTCTCGCCAGCACAGACACCGCAGAGCCAGTATTTCCCACAGCCGTCACCGCAAGGCTACGGCAACATGGCGCAACAACAACAGCAGGCTCCGCCCACGCAGGCTTACGGCGCAAGCTTTGACCAGGCGCAACAGGCAGCGAAGTACGCACAGCAACAGCATCAGGGCCAGTACCGCCGTTAGATAGATGGGCTATTCGTTTAGAAAGTGTTGAGGTCATTCGGGATCGATTACAATTGGATTGAAGAGTATGAGACGAGATGCCGATGTTCACTGTATATATTTCACGTCTGCATCTTCTCGTACATAATATCAAGCATTGAGAATGGGAGCTTTGGATCGGATTGCAGGCTCGCACGGTATAGCATGGGGATGTTAATGGAGTTATGATGATTGAGAGTGTGTTCAGTTGCTTGATCACTTGTAGTCTTGATGTCTATATGTCGACTTTCCTTCCGCGTTGACGATCTCAAAACACGCCATCTATTAATTCCATTCTTCCCAGTCCCGAAACATCGCTACGCTCTCGCTCTGGCTAACGTGGAACTGTATCTCAGTCTCAGAAAGAGGCACGTCCAAAACTCTGCTCAATAGCTGCGCAAATTTGAACAGCTCATCACCCTCCCATCTTTGATGCTTGAAAATAGTTTTTCTGTGTTTAATCCGATTGCCTCCGTGGTACAGGAGGTCGATAAGAACGTCTTTTGCTGACTTGCGATAGTCGATTTTGATAGACTGGCCATATTCTGCGACCCCTACAAGAGCGTAGACTTTATCTCGAATGTCCCCGCACTCATGGTCGCCATATGCTTCCAACAAATCCGAGAAAGTGACTGACACACGTGGTGTGGATTGACCCCGTATCATAGCGATGTCCATAGCAGGACTGGCGAGGATTTCGTCAAGGTGAGACATGTAAGTCTTATCGTGAGAAAAAGAAGGATCCATAAGTTCCAAATGTCTGACCGCACTTGCGAGGTCCTCGAGCGATAGCACAAGACTAGATAACGAGACAATCTTTGAGCCACAATGTATCTCCAGGTAGTCCGCAAGCATGACTTCCTGTATGATCCACATTCGGGACCAATATCTTCTGTTACATAGTGCTGTAATGCTGCGATCCTCTGTTGAGGTTAAGAACCTCTTGAACCTAGGTACTCTCCGGGTTGGACGAGGCCAGTTACGGTCCTCGTCACTGTCGTCAATCTCGTCACTCTCGTCACTCTCGTCGGTATCCAAATTCAGCTGTTTAGTCCAGTCGATCAGGTCTCCGTCCTCCAAGATCTGCATGGCAATGTCGCTATCATCGCCCTCTTTACCGAGCCAGATCAAAACTCTGCCAGCTTCTGAATATATGGAACTCATCAATCGAACTTGGTGATTACGCTCGTCGACCTCCGACTGCTGTATACAGATTGCGTCAATCCAGAAGGGTCCGTAATTTCCATGGAGTAGTTGCTGATGTACGAAGTCCCATAGATTCTCGCGAATCGGGACACTGACGCCATTGATCTCGATATTGGTGTGCATTACATCGGCACCCCAGGTGTAAGACAGAGCAGTATACGATGGACAGTTTTCTGGGCTGTAGGTCTGGAGGCTGCATCTCGTGATATCTTCGTCATTGTTGGGCTCGAGGGTGAGCAGTCTGATCTCTCTGCGCGTCCGATCGAGGGGGCATGACGCATAGAGGTCGCCCATCGTCCGTGGTTCGCATGCGCTGGGTAAAGCCGATGGGCGTTTCGTGGTACACGACGTGCATCTGTGATGTGAGCGTGCTCTCGCATACGAAAGAGACGACGAGGCAGCTGCAGACATGTTACATAAATGGCTGTCTGAAGCTTCGTAATACCTGGTAGAGCGATAGAGGCTGTGTCGCTGAGCCCATGACGTCGAAGCTGAAGCGCTCAGCTCTGCACACTCTGGCCGTGCTATCACAGCCAATAACACGAGGTCAGAGGCTGTTTGGATGTACAGGTCTGCGCATCGAAGACTATACCATGACGACAGTTATTCTTGAACACAGGTAAACGTTCATTAGAGTTTACACTACGAGTCTAATGTTTTAATTGTCCGATTGATTGGAATGCGTGATGATGTTTGCAAAATGGAGTATGTCACCTTGGATTGATGCAGGATACCTCGGAAGGACGAAGTGCGGGGCATCCCAACCTTGGAAGCGAGACAGCTACCCCTCCATGCAGCTTTCACGCCGCTAACCCCATCCTACCTCCGTCTCCACACCACACCCTGCATGAGCCTCGTCATAGTATCCATCGCTCACGATCCTCGGCCAACCTTGTTTCTATTTGGTTCCAAGCCTAACTCCGTCCGACGACATTGCCGTGAACGAGAATCGGTGTCTCGCTGCTGAAGTTCTTTACGTCCTCCATGACCTCCTTGGTGCCCTCACTTTGCAAGGCCTTTCCAACACTCTCAGGGCTGTCAAACTCCATGACGGTGCTGATGGCGTATGGACCATCGGCGTTGAGCTCACTGACGGCGTAGGACTTGAGACCGTGGTCTTTCCAGTTCTTCATGGCGAGCGGCATGTGTGTCTTGAGGTAGTACTCCTTGTCAAAGGTGGAGCCCTCCTTGCGAGGGTAGAGGACGATAGCGTTGGCGCCAGACATGATGAGGTATAGGTGGATGGTATCAAAGAGTTCTGTACGCTGTGAGTCAAAACCAACAGGGACTTGCAAGATGTACTGACTGTTGTAGATGCGATGCGCGGTGCTGAACAGCACTGACGTGGGAATTAGTGTCTTTATAGCTGCGCCCGCGCCTGGGATCGACTCAGTACCCCACTTCAAGATCCTTACATCCGCTTCGGTCCTGCTGTTTTGCACACTCGCCCGAGATTACTCGCAATACCAGTCCGATCGGGCTTAGGATATATAACGTCGACTTTTGTCAGCATGCTGCTATCTTTCGACCACGAGACAGCTCCAGACACACGTTATCGGAGTTTGGCCGGATCTTCCCGAGTGGATATCCTCACATGCGTCGGAAGGGACCTTGAAGATAGATGGCTACTTGCCAAGCTAATCTACTACCAGACACTTAATTCGACATCGTCGCGTCCACCGCCAGCTGTGTCGTGACGTATAACTCTGGTACAATTACGAAGAATCTTCTGGTGTAATGGCCTCGAAGGTCCCCATCTCCCTATTGCCCTGGCGATTGCGCTCGATCAGGCTGTCCTTAATAACCACGACTGTTTGAGCGCCGGGCTCCTCCTCTACAGAAGGGAGTATGGGGACAGGCACATCGTCTTGCAGGCCAGATGACCTCACGTTTCCCCACACCCTTCCTCCGGTAGGCACCGCAGCCTTCGCCCATATGTACGCTGTTTTGTCCATTCCCCTCAGCCTGAGCCCAACGACTGTGTGCAGCTCTTTTGTAACCTTGGGCTGGACAACAACGCCCGGTCGCCATAGCTGGGTTTTCTGTGGATCCGAAAAATTCCGGATTGCAATACTCGTGCGATGGGCGATTACTGCTTCTTGTATGACGAGACCAGTACCGGAATGTACAAAACGTCGAGGCAGTATGCTGTTAACCACGCGACCTTCTTCTTCGTATGCACAATCCGTCAATCTGAATCGGAGTGCGGGATCCAGCCCAACGATTGCGTCCGGGAACCTCCCGCAGTCGATGGTACACGACGAGCCCGACTCGAAGAAGAGCTGTATTGCGGGAAAGAACGTGTTCAACGTCCAGTAAATAATCTCTGGGAATAGTCAGCTCTGCCGTCCTGTCGCACTACACATTTGGTAGACGCGCTCTCGTTGATCAATTGACTAGCTAAATTGGTTTTGTCCAATTCCGCTGTGTGTTCCAGACTGGCAGTCCGCGGTATGAACGCGCCGCGGTCCGTGGTAGAAACTGTTGTCGCATCCGATCCTTTTGCCTCGTCATCTTGCATCAATGCCTCGCTGAGCCGGTCCCGAGAGCTCCAAAGCCTTGGGAAACCGCGGCGCTGTGCTTCTGTGAAAAGGTCTTCTGTTGAGCATTGGTAGTAGTCCATGCGACGGGAAGCAGCTCGTGTTACCGAGAGGACTTCCGCCGGATAATGGATGCTTGTATAGTGGCCTCGGATTGCTATGACAAGAATGCAATTGATGTTTGTGGTTATGATAGAGCCACGCAAAAATGTGTCCAAGAGTAGAGGTGTAGAAGCGCGCTTGCGTGCGCAGCGAATATGATGACTCCACTCTTATTGGAAGGAAGGAACTTGAGATGACCCACACTATGGAGAAAGGTCGCCCAAGAATTACCGTGAAAGAGCATCCAACTCCCCAACACCTAACATCGTGGCAGATGGAAGGTAAGTTCATCGGGTCTTCGCGGTGGTACCAGCAACGTGCGGACAGGCTGTTCATCACCTTTTCCAGCGAACGTCTACACTTTTAGTCCTGTTTGGAACACAGGCTCATACATTGCTTGATTCTCTCTCATGAAGAGACGTCACGCAAGGGTCATGACTGCTGAACGTCGCTGCCGCGCACGCGTCTGGTGCTGACCTGCTCAGACCATTCCTAATCAGGAAAGGACGCAAAACACGCAGCCCTGGACCAGTTGACATCAAGTCCTTCAAGATTCCTCCGCTCCCTGAAATTGTTATCACCTGATCTACGCGACTTCTTTCAGCTCTCATATCGCCGCCGCACACGACGACTTCATCATACAAGCGCCACGGCGCACCTACCCCAGTCTCCATGCTATCCTGCGTCAGCCCTGGCTCGCCTCACTGCACACGCGCATCGCATCGGATGCCTCATCTACACAGAGTACCGGTTTCTGCATGCATTCAAAGCCGTGGGATGTTACACAAGATACTCTCCCGTCAGCTGTGTGTAAGACGGGACGTGCCATGTTGCCCTACCATCATGCTGGAACGCTTATGCGCTTGAGCGTGGGATGAAGGCAAAGTAGCGGTGACTACGCGAGACTGCTGATTATCAAGGCTTGCTCACCGGACCATGTTGTCAGACGTGCAAGTTTCAGCAAGCTTCCTATCACGGTCCATGGGTAGCGATAGTGCTGTCAGCTGCTCAACCCAGTGGCAGACGGAGACGGAGCACGGCGACACCGTTGTCTGCGCATGTATTCGCTACTTGCCGGCAGAAGCAACACGAACGCCACGCGGATAGGGCACGATGCAAAGACACCGATTGGCTTACACGGCTTACTGCAGGCCTTCAGTCGACAAACTCGCTGCTATGAGTGGCTGCCTTTGCCATTGAGTATGTTGTTGGCAATGTAGGGCAGAGCCATTCACCGAGCGGGCTTATGTGTGAGCCTTCACGCGACTGGTTATTTACGCACTTCAATGTTTTCGAAATACAACCCCATGACGCTTCATGGTCTCCGTCTAGTGAAGCATCGTTCCACGGCGGAAGTCGGCACTGATACTTCCTCAAAGTCGCAGAAATCGGACGAACCACAGGGGCGGGATGCGTTCCTATTGAGCAAGGGAGTTCATAAGTCTGCGACACTCCCCGGCTCTTCGGATGTGGCTGAGAATATGTACCGGAAAGTTTGTGTGCCCTCTTTCGTGGGGGGTTCTACCAGCCGTTCCATGTGCTACACCGGTCAGTGGCTTAAGGGCCATACAAACACGCTAATCCAATCATGGCAAACATCAAGGCCGAGCCCTCGCTGCGACCTGTGTTGCTATTGGATGTGCAGAGCGAGTTCGGAGGAGTGCGCAGGCCGGGATAACAGCACGGACGAGCACTGCATTGTCGTGTGATTACCATGAAGGACGATTTTCGAAAGTATTGAATTCAACATTGCTACAACACTGACAGGTCCGAACAGACTGGAAATACAATTTGAATCAGATATCCGCCCACTAACTGCTATGCGAAGCTAAACGTACGCTTACAGAAATTGAGAAAAAGCCACCAGAAGGCTCGAAGCGCTATACAGCCACTGCTGGTAACAACGTTGGCAGGGGGTACAATTGCTTTTTGCAGCCTCGTAACGACAGATAACGCCCACCATACTGACTGTGAACGAAGCAACGGTCAAATTGAGATAACGCCGCTAGAAATATGCGAAAGTACGCTCAACGCCAAGAGCAATGCGAGAAGATGCTCGGAAGCAATTGTGATGACCTCTTTCGATGGACAGAGATAGACATCGTGTTTGCGTGCGTAACTCAGAGAGAGTTCTCAGTCTTGACGAGCTCGTCAAATGCATCACGCCACCTGCGGACTTCGTCCTTGCCAGGCCTGGGGAGGGGCTTGCGAGCGTATCCTCCGTATCCATAGTGAGCCATCAGTCCGGCCTTTGTTCCGATGATACCACCCTGAATGGCAGCCCAGTCGCCTCTGGCTACTATAGCCTGGAGCTTGCGGGCTTCTGCGAGCTTGCCAGCTTCAAATAGCTCAACGAGCTTGACGCATGTCTTGGGTGCGATGTTGGCCATGCCGCCAATGATACCGGAACCGCCTCCGACCAATGTCTGCAGGGTGAAGTCGACGGATCCGCCCATGCACATGAAGCCGGATCCAGGATCAGAGACGGTGACTGCTCGGGTGGCTGCCGCGATGCGGTTCAGCTTTCCTGTGTTGCCACAGGTCAACTTGCAACCGACAATGTTGGGATGTTGAGCCAGCTCAATGATGATATCTGAGTTGAGATCCATTCCAGAAACAGCACCGGGGTAGTTGTAGATGAGGATGGGGATGGGCGAAGCAGTGGCTACATCCTGGAAGAATTCCTTTACGGTCTCCTTCGAGAACAAGCCCTGGTAGTATGCTGGTGGAAGCACCAAGGCATAGTCTCCGCCAGCGGAGGCTGCCTCTTCGCAAAGCTCGATACATTCCCGGGTCGACTGAGCACCGCATCCGACGATTACAGGCATGTAACCAAAGCCTGCGTCATCAAGAGCTTTGCGGGTGGTGTTTGTGATGAGGTCGCGTTCCTTGTGGGAGAGATGGACAGCCTCGCCATTGGACCCTTGAGTGGTGATACCGGCAACACCAGCTTTGGCTAGACGAACGGCATGGCTGGCGGTAGTCTCAACGTCAACGTTATCTGAAGTTGGTTCGAAGAACGCTACAGTAGGAACGTAGATGCCAGGAACTAATGACCGCCGGATGCCAACATCAGTAGACTCCATTGAGCTGGTGTCGAAGTCGGTGTATCGGTTCATGGTGTAGACGGATTGGACAGGATGGTGGAAGCCGGAATCTTGAACGAAGCTATTTGCGGGAGAAGGTGCGTCGGTGTGCGGTGACATGATAAGAAGAGTTCGGATGTGGAGGTCTAGTAAACTTTTATACTAACAAAAGCTTGCAGAGAGAAGCGGGACTTTTGACAAAGAATAAGCGGAACGCAGCAACGACGAACGGAACGAATACGTCAATGGTTGATCGATGTTTGGTAACACCCCGAGGATAGTACAGGTACTTAAATATTTCCAAACGCCGGACACTTGACCTTGCAATGGGGAGTGTGGGGGTCCAGCTGACGGCGTTGTCAGGAGTGCTAGTGACGGCAGGCAAAGCAAGGTGCGTGAAGTGCATCAGTGAGGGATGGGTACTGGGCAGGCATCTTTGGTGACGACCAAAGGGGCGGTGACTCCCGCAGCCTGCTCGAGGTGCTGCTCTGCACGTAGCCGATACCAGGTACAGCTGTTTGCGCTTAGCTGTAGGGGTTGCGCGTGGCCAATAAACGCGGCGAGGATTGCTGATTGAAGCGGCGTTTGCTTTTTTGCTCACGTTGCATCAAGCGAGCAGGGGGTGAGAGGCTGTGAACATCGGATCTTGGCCGGACGTGAAGTGCAAGGGGGGAACGCCTTGTGACGATCTTTTGGAATCCTGGCTGCAAGCTGATAGGGTAATTCTCGCCACAGCTGGCACCATGCGAAGGGTTGGCGGGCTCGAAAGAGCGTTGATGGATACC